CATTTTCTAAAAGCACATGGCCAGTAGAATAAAAAGAAGGTGCTACTGATTTTTATGGCCCCACGATAGTTACGTAAATATTTGTCAAAACAATATGTTCTCTAAAAATACACTAAAATCATTATTAGCAGATACAAACACAGCAAATTTTATAAAATTTCTGCTAAATTCCTACTATATATAAAAGCCTAATCTGTACTGAGTTAATAAATAATGGATATTTGTAAATTTTAAATTACGCTTTTTAGCAAAATGGTGAAATTGAATGTATGCAAAACTTTAGATAACCACATTTCTTTAAAAATGTGCAGGTTTTAATTTTTCACTTACAGCTTTCGGAGTTGGTAAAAAAAACCCCAAACCATACAGTTTATAAAAGCACATGACCTGTAGAATAAAAAGTAGGTGCTGCTGATTTTTTTAGGCCCCACAATAGTTGTGCAAATGTTTATCAAATCACTATCTAAAAAAAAAAAATTAAAATCTTTATTTCCACACATAAACACAGCACAACTTATAGACTTCCTGCTAAATTCCCACTAAGGCCTGGTATGCCGATGGAGGGCTGTGTTTACCCACACAGGGATGGACAGGTTTTCTGTGCATCCCTATTCATGTTAACTAGGATGCAGCAGGACAGATCTGGTTTTTTTTTTTTTTTCATTTCATCATTTTCCTTTCTTTTTTCCTATTTATTATATCCTCTCCTTTCTCCATTTGGTTTCCTTTACCCCCCCCATTTAACATCCATGACTTTACACTATTCACCTTACAGCAATGGTCAATCACTGGTTAATTGGGTAATTGATCAATTAGACTCACGTTCCCTATATATTCACCCCTGTTCATCCACCTCCCCCTGCTTGAAAAAGGAGCGCACTTCCGCCTTCCACGTCCAGCGCATGCTCCGAAACGCGCCGCAGTGCACCCTGGGATCTGACGTCATCACGGCCACGCTGCCGCTGCGTTCCAGCGTGCGTTCCATCAGGCTCTGAGGGAGGACGTGCACGCCGGCCGGCTTCACCGCTGTTCCCCTCCAGCCACCATGCTGTTCCAGCCGAGAGCTGACCTCCCCACATCGCAGTAAGATGACGGCTCTTCACCCGGGTTACCAACCCACCATTAACTATTGTTAACCACGGTTTTTAACCATTAGCCGCCCGGCCAATGGCCGTTTGGCGGCTTCAGATGTGCTCCTCCATTCTGGGTGCACGCCATTTGGCGTGCTCCCGCACATGCGCCGTTTGCGCTAGTGCAGAGCGGCGCAGCAGTGCGATCTGTCGCCGTCCGTGCACCTCGGACACGGCCGATGACAGATCCGAGTACCGGCTCCCGTTGCTGGTACCATGTGACCTGCTGTGACCAATCACAGCAGGTCACATGACAGTTGTATACATGGATGGCTTCATTCATGATGCCATCCATTGTATACTAGTGCCTAGCTGTGAATGGTCACAGCTAATCACATGCACATGTCATGTGATTAGCTGTGACCAAATCACAGCTAAGCACAAAAAAAAAAAAAAAAAAAAAAAGAAAAAAGCTGAATGAATCGATTTCATTCAGGTAAATGCTTGCTTATAGCAAAGTAATTCTTTGCTATAAGCAAATTGTGTAAAAAAAAAAAAAAAAAAAAAAATACTGATCACTTCCCCAAAGTAGTACAATGTTACTATGGTAACATTGTACTATTTTGGTCATAGTAAAAATATGAAAAAAAATCTTAAAAAAAATAAAAAAAATGTAATAAAAAATTAAATATAATAAAAAAATAAAAAAAAAAATATTTTTTTTTTTTTCATACTGTCACCAGTCAGTGTCCCTGTTCACCGCCATGCCAGTTATATGATGATGCTGTACTGCACTGGTGACAGTATGTAAAAAAAAAAATTGTGAAAATAATTTTTTTCATTTTTTCATTTTCCGAAAAATTATGACAAAAAAATACAACTTCAAAAAACTCGCCATGCCTCTTATGAAGTACGTCGGACTGTCTACTCTGCAAAAAGGGGTCATTTGGGGATATCTGTACTATTCTGACATTCTTGGACCTCAAGAAATTAGATTGGCCGTCAGTACTTCAGGATTGATCAATAATCAGATCTATACCATAGTTTGTGAACTCTATAACTTTCCTACAAACTAAATAATACATCCTAATTTGGGTTATTTTCACCAAAGACATGTAGCAGAATACATCTCGGCCTAAATTTATGAAGAACAATTATTTATTTGTAAACGTTTATAACAGAAACAAAGAAAAATGTGTTTTTTTTTTCAAACTTTTTGGTCTTTTTTTGTTAATTTAGCAAAAAATAAAAACCCCAGCGGTGATTAAATACCACCAAAAGAAAGCTCTAGTTGTGTGAAGAAAATGATAAAATTTTAGTTTGGGTACAGTGTTGTAATTGTCATTCAAAGTGTGAGAGCGCTGAAACCTGAAAAATGGCCTGGGCAGGAAGGTGTAAAATTGCCCGGTATTGAAATGGTTAAGCTTATGATTACTTCACACATGTGAGTGTTTCTACATTTAGACTTGAATAAAAAGACTTATTGCACTTAGAGGCGCTTCTCTCCTTTTTTCATCTACATAGGTTTCTGACATGCTTGTTGGTTTTACTTTTCGCTGATTTTATTTTTTTCAATTTCAGTTCAAGATATAACATTTGTAATACACAGCAGCCCTAAATAATTCTCTGTAAAAAAAAAAAAAAAAAAAAGAACAGGTTAGAGTTAATATGTTCCTCCTGTAAATACTGACCCCTACTGGACCTGAAAGATCTTACAATATTATATACTACAATCCCTGTGTACAGGATAGGAAACAATTATCAGCTACAGTAAACTGAGCACTTAACAAAATTCTTGTCAGCAATTTAAAGAAAAAACTTCAGTGAAGAATAAGCATCCAAGAGGTGCTGGGACTTTGATGTGAGTTCACACAAAGTAATGAGAGAGAAAAAAACATTTGGAGAGCTCACTGGCTCAGGTTAGGCTGCTCACAGCAGACAGGGCTCCCCTCCAGTGGGTATCCAGCATGTTACTGGAAAAAAACAAGTATCAATAGAAGGAGCTCCAGATCAAATGTTAAAAGTCCGGATTAATTTATTGGTTTATACTAAAAATCAACCAATGTGTTTGTGGGCCAGAAAACACGCTCTCTTCATCAGGACTTGGGTGAACACAGAATAGGACTTTCCTAAGTGAATCTATATAGGGAAGTAGACTGGATTAGGACTAAGAGTCAACAGACAGAAGCATTTGCATGAGCATATACTAAACAGTCAATGAACATGAAAATAACTCTTTTCAACAAAACGTTCCATCCATCTAAAGCAGTGGTTCTCAACCTTTCTAATGCCGCGACCCCCTTAATACAGTTCCTCATGTTGTGGTGACCCCCAACCATAAAATTATTTTCATTGCTACTTCATAACTGTAATTTTGCAGTGGGAGGAGTAGTGCCATGTCATTGGTGTCAGTGGAAGGAGTAGTAGTAGTGCCCCATCACTGATGTCAGTGGGATGTATAGTGCCCCATCGTTGGTATCAGTGGGAGGAATAGTGCCCCATTACTGATGTCAGTGGGATGAATAGTGCCCCATCACTGGTGTCAGTGGGAGGAATAGTGCCCCATCACTGATGTCAGTGGGATGCATAGTGCCCCATCGTTTGGTATCAGTGGGAGGAATAGTGCCCCATCACTGATGTCAGTGGTGGATGAATAGTGCCCCATCACTGGTGTCAGTGGGATGAATAGTGCCCCATCACTGGTGTCAGTGGGAGGAATAGTGCCCCATCACTGGTGTCAGTGGGAGGAATAGTGCCCCATCGTTGGTTCAGTGTGTCAGTGGTATCAGTGGGAGGAATAGTGCCCCATCGTTGTATGTCAGTGGGAGGAATAGTGCCCCATCGTTGGTATCAGTGGGAGGAATAGTGCCCCATCGTTGGTATCAGTGGGAGGAATAGTGCCCCATCGTTGGTATCAGTGGAGGAATAGTGCCCATCGTTGGTGTCAGTGGGAGGAATAGTGCCCCATCGTTGGTGTCAGTGGGAGGAATAGTGCCCCATCGTTGGTGTCAGTGGGAGGAATAGTGCCCCATCGTTGGAGTAGTCAGTGGGAGGAATAGTGCCCCATCGTTGGTGTCAGTGGGGAGGAATAGTGCCCCATCATTGGTGTCAGTGGGAGGAGTAGTGGCCCATAATTGGCCCCATCATTGGTGTCAGTGGAGGGGTGGGGGAGTAGTGCCCATCATTGGTGTCAGTGGGGGGAGTAGTGCCCCATCATTGGTGTCAGTGGGGGAGTAGTGCCCCATTGGTGTCAGTGGGGGGTGTCAGTGGGAGGAGTAGTGCTCCATCACTGGTGTCAGTCTTGGGGGGGGGAATAGTGCCACATCATTGGTGTCAGTGGGAGGAATAGTGCCCCATCATTGGTGTCAGTGGGGGGTAGTGCCCCATCATTGGTGTCAGTGGGAGTGAATAGTGTGCCCCATCATTGGTGTCAGTGGGAGGTAGTGCCCCATCACTGGTGTCAGTGGGGGAGTAGTGCCCCACTGGTGTCATTGGTGTCATTGTGTGTGGTGGGAGGAATAGTGCCCCATCATTGGTGTCAGTGTGGGGTGTGGGGGGGGAAATAGTGCCCCATCATGGTGTCAGTGGGGTGGGGAGGGGAGAATAGTGCCCCATCATTGGTGTCAGTGGGGGAGGAATAGTGCCCCATCATTGGGTGTCAGTGGGAGGAATAGTGCCCCATCATTGGTGTCAGTGGGGGGAGGGAATAGTGCCCATCAGTTGGTGTCAGTGGTGGGAGGAATAGTGCCCCATCATTGGTGTCAGTGGGAGGAATAGTGCCCATCATCGGTGGTGTCAGTGGGAGGAATAGTGCCCCATCATTGGTGGTGTCAGTGGTGTCATGTGGGGAGGAATAGTGTGTCCCATCATCGTTGGTGTCAGTGGGAGGAGTAGTGCCCTCATCGTTGGTGGTGTCAGTGGGAGGAATAGTGCCCCATCATTGGTGTCAGTGGGAGGAATAGTGCCCATCATCGTTGGTGTCAGTGGGGGAGGAATAGTGCCCCATCATTGGTGTCAGTGGGGAGAAGAATAGTGCCCCATCATTGGTGTCAGTGGGGGTCAGTGGGAGGAATAGTGCCCCATCGTTGGTGGTGTCAGTGGGGGAAATAGTGCCCCATCGTTGGTGTCAGTGGGGGAGGAATAGTGCCCCATCATTGGTGTCAGTGGGGGAATAGTGCCCCATCATTGGTGTCAGTGGGGAGGAGTAGTGCCCCATCGTTGGTGTCAGTGGGGGGGAATAGTGCCCCATCACTGGTGTCAGTGGGGGGAGTAGTGAATAGTGCCCCATCAGTTGGTGTCAGTGGGAGGAATAGTGCCCCATCATTGGTGTCAGTGGAGGAATAGTGCCCCATCATTGTGTCAGTGGGCAGTAGTGGCCCCATCATTGGTGTCAGTGGGGGAATAGTGCCCCATCATTGGTGTCAGTGGGAGGAAAGTAGTGCCCCATCAGTTGGAATAGTGTGTCAGTGGGGGGGAGTAGTGTCATTGGTGTCAGTGGGGGAGGAATAGTGCCCCATCATTGGTGTCAGTGGGAGGAATAGTGCCCCATCATTTGGTGTCAGTGGGAGGAGTGCCCCATCATTGGTGTCATGTGGTGGAGGGGAGAGGAATAGTGCCCCATCGTTGGTGTCAGGGGGGGAGGAATAGTGCCCCATCGTTGGTGTCAGTTGGTGTCAGTGTGGAATAGTGCCCCATCGTTGGTGTCAGTGGGGGGGAATAGTGCCCCATCGTTGGTGTCAGTGGGGGGAGGAATAGTGCCCCATCGTTGGTGTCAGTGGGGGGGGAGGAATAGTGCCCCATCGATTGGTGTTGGTGTCAGTGGGGGAGGAATAGTGCCCCATCGTTGGTGTCAGTGGGGGGAGGAATAGTGCCCCATCGTTGGTGTCAGTGGGGGGGAGGAATAGTGCCCCATCGTTTGGTGTCAGTGGGGGGAGGAATAGTGCCCCATCGTTGGTGTCAGTGGGGGGAGGAATAGTGCCCCCCAGGAATAGTTGCCCCATCGTTGGTGTCAGTGGGGGGAGGAATAGTGCCCCATCGTTGGTGTCAGTGGGGGGAGGAATAGTGCCCCATCGTTGGTGTCAGTGGGGGGAGGAATAGTGCCCCATCGTTGGTGTCAGTGGTGGGGAGGAATAGTGCCCCATCGTTGGTGTCAGTGGGGGGGAGAATAGTGCCCCATCGTTGGTGTCAGTGGGGGGGAGGAATAGTGCCCCATCGTTGGTGTCAGTGGGGGAGGAATAGTGCCCCATCGTTGGTGTCAGTGGGGGAGGAGGAATAGTGCCCCATCGTTGGTGTCAGTGGGGGGAGGAATAGTGCCCCATCGTTGGTGTCAGTGGGGGGGAGGAATAGTGCCCCATCGTTGGTGTCAGTGGGGGGAGGAATAGTGCCCCATCGTTGGTGTCAGTGGGGGGGAGGAATAGTGCCCCATCGTTGGTGTCAGTGGGGGAGGAATAGTGCCCCATCGTGCGTTGTGGCCAGGTGACAGCAGCGTATCATCCCGCCCACACATCCCCGGAGACTGCAGGCGGTGTCTCGGTTCCTAAGACCATCGGAAATATGTGTTTTTTCCGATGGTCTTAGGTGACCCCTGGGAAATGGTCGTTCGACCCCCGCAAAGGGGTCGCGAAGCCCCCAGGTTGAGAAAACGCTGATCTAAAGTGAGGTGTGCTTTTGGCAAATTACAATTCACCAGTGCAGTGCTAGTTTTTATGCTATTGTGTTTTCTTCCTTTGTGCTTCATGCAAAAAAAAACTTGTGCTCTCCCAGGTCCCTCCCTCACGCACTCCACCCAGATAATATTGACCTTGTGCCCTCCAGAGTATATGGTGGGTCAAGACACGCTTGTGGATATCACCTTCTTAGGTATTCCCAGTGGTCATCAGCCTCTTCGTACACCTGCTGGTCACCTTCTGACTTCTTCTATTTCAGCTGCAGATTTGGTCCTGGAATGTTGTATCACTCAAAACACATAATGGGGAACAAAGAGGGGGAACCACCATAGTGTAGCCCTATTTTTACTATGACAAGATAAAAGGCAATACACTCACCAGTGTTGCAAACCCCCTCGAAGTGAAATTAACTAACAGGATGCCCAACATTTACTGACACTTAAAAAAATTTCCTAATTTGGCCAAAAAATAGTGCAAATATCATCATGTAAGCTACAAAACATGTAGTTAGTACTATTAGCAATGTGTTTAAGTTATAAACAAAAAGTCAAAAAACACATATTTCTCCATTTACCTTAACTTACCTAAGGTCAGGTTAATATAACCTAGCCAGCAGTGTTCCCCCTTACATCAGAGTCTGCAGGATTCCCCCTTACAAATGGCATGGGGAATTCTGATGTAAAGGCGAATGCTACAGACTTTGGTGTAAAGGGGTAACTCTGATGTGGGGGGGCTCTAATGACCATAGACCACCTGATATCAGAGTCCACTGCTTTCTATTCCCCTTTAGTTCAGTGTGCGCAGAGTTCACCTTGAACTGTAAGGGGGAATCATGCAGACTCTTGATGTAAAGGGGAAAGCACTATGAACTCTGATATGGAGGGGACTCTAGTGACCACAGACCATCTTCTGCAGAGTGAATACACTAAAGCAGTGTTTTTCAACCTTTTTTGTGCAAAGGCACACTTTTTTCATGAAAAAAATCACGAGGCACACCACCATTAGAAAATGTTAAAAAAATTTACCTCTGTGCTATATTGACTATATATAAAGTAATTCTCTTGAATAGGAATCAAACACAAAGAAATTATTTTATAATTACTTTATTATGAAATAATAAAGTACTTTATAATTGTTCATATTTCTGTTTACTTACTCAGTGCGAAACCTGGGCCTGTTTGGCTGAACACAAAGCTGATATTCTGGCAGGGAATCGAAGAAAGACACACACGTAGCTCTTCGTCAACAGCTCTCAGTCTCTCTCTGTCTTTAGTTTTTATAGCAATCAGGCTTGAAAAGCTCATCTCACACAGATATGTAGTGGAAAATGGGAGCAATGTCAAAATAGCTTTGTTTGCCAGAACGGGGAACTCCTTGGCAGTATCCAACCAAAAAACTGTCCAAAGGTAGATCAGCAAATCTTAGCTTGAAACCACGATTTTGTCTCAGTTCAGTTAGTTCCTCCCTGCTCCTGTAAAGTCATGTCCCTTTCCACCAACTGATGGTGAGCTATAAGGGTCCCTAACCCAGTCAAGGCATTTAGTGGAGACTGAAGAGAAATAAAATGACAACTTCTTCTCGATAGTTTTTTTAAAATGTTTAACTATTATCTCACCCAGTGCAGCAGTGTGAACACCTTGCCATTGCTTGGTGAGTGTGAACATTTCAAGATTGCCACTTTCCACGTGTTGATGCCAGAGTTGCACTTTTGAACGGAATCCATTTATTTTTATCTGTACTTGTAAGCAGATTTTCATTTCGGCCTTGCATTCGTGTGTTCAGCTCATTCAGATGATGAAAAATATCTGCCAGGTATGCCAGCCTTGCACACCACTCATCACTTGCAAGCAGCTTTGCGTAATCTGACCTCTCATTTGTCAGAAACACTTTAAGTTCCTCCCGCAGCTCATACACACGAACCAAGACCTTGCCACGCGACAACCACCGGACCTCCGTATCGCCGAAACTGCAAAGGTTTTATGCTTCGCTCCCATCTCCTCACACAAAGCTGCAAACATGCGACTTTTCACGGGTCGTGACTTTACAAAGTTTACCATGCGCCACAACATCATCCAACACAGGAACTAGGTCTGCTGGTAAAGTCTTGGCTACGAGGGCCTCACGGTGTAAAAAACAATGCGTAACAATCACATCTGGATTTCTTTCCTTCACTCTGCTTACAAAGCCTTTGGTGCGCCCGACCATGGCTGCAGCTCCATCGGTTGCAGACACTTGTGCAGTTTTCCCACTTAAGTCCTCCTTGTTCAAGGTATTCTGATGTGACCCGAAAAAATTTCTTCTCCTGTTGTTTTTTCTGGCAAATGCCTTGCAAAAAAAGAAGTTTTCTCTAATTGCATCACCATCCACAAAACGAACATTGGCCAAGAGTTGAGCATGTCCACTGATATCAGTAGACTCGTCAAGTTGCAATGCAAATTTCTCACTGATACGGATCTTTTCGAAAACCACACTTTCTATGTCTGCAGACATGTCATTAATACGTCTGGAAATTGTGTTGTCTGAGAGAGGGACTTTGTCTATTTCCTTAGCTGCTTCAGGTCCGAGCATCTCCTCTACAATAGCTTTGCAGGCGGGAAGTATTAATGTCTCTGCCACAGTGTGCGACTTTTTTGACTTGGCTATAAGTTCAGCAACTTGATAGCTAGCTTTAAGAGCTTTCATTTACCTTTGTGGTTTTTCTCATGAAAGTTGCCTGTTTCTCCGTGTTTTCACGCAGGTGAACAAAAAAGTCCGCATTCTTGTTTTGAAGCGAAGAGTGTTTCGTTTGAGATGGCGTTTAAGTTTACTTGGGACAATAGCACTATTAGATAGCTTTTCACCACACACCACCCACAGTGGAGTTGGTTTCTTTGCATCTCTGGTGAAAGTAAATCCAAATGAAATATAGCTTTCGCTATATTGCCTTGTGCCAGAGAATTTCCTTGAGCTAACCATCTTTGCTTTCTTTTGATCCCCACTCATACTTGGGCTCTTATCTGGCTCCGAATTTTGTTCAGAGTCCAGTTCTTTCCTTTTCAAAAATTTGTCCATCACTGCAGTATCTGTTCCTGTCTCACTGTCACTCAGTACTTACTGCGCTTGTCTCCTCCAGATAGCCGCTGTCCGTCACACTCAGCACTCCATCCAGATCCATCAGTCAGCGCTCTTCTGCTCCTGTCTCCTCCAGATCCATCACTCAGCGCTCTTCTGTGCTGCGTCCGCGATAATCCTCCAGAGTCCAGATCCTTCGGTGCTCTTCAGCGCATTGGCGATCTACTGTGATGTCTTCTCCTGTCAGTGTAACAGTGACACCGGAGCTATTTATAGTCTAATGATTCTAATGATTGGTCTATTTGTGAGCCGAGGCCACATGTTTACGGATGAAATTGGAATTTTTCCCACGGCACACCAGACAATATCTCACGGCACACTAGTGTGCCGCGGCACAGTGGTTGAAAAACGCTGCACTAAAGTAAGGAAGGGGGATTACTGATATAAGGGGGAACCTTTATATCAGTGTCCCCTTACAATACTGTATTCACTCCGCCCCCCCCCCTTACATCAGTGGACAACAGACAGGATACATGAGATGGTCTGAGGCTGTGGGCATGATTCAGGAAATGGTTAGAGGCTATGGACAGGATACAGGATATGGTTAGAGGCTGCAGAAAGGATATAGGAGATGGTTAGAGGCTGTGGACATGATACAGAAGATGGTTAAAGTGTTACTAAACCCAGCACCCTACATTTACTATATCTGGTCCCCCACAGTACACAGAACATGGAAGTGCAATTATTTTAGTAAATATAAACTGCTAAATACCTTTTATCAGGCTCCAGCCATGGTGCAGGCTGGGGTACAGTCTCCGGGGTGGAAAGGCATGCACACTGATGTGTTGCCGAGTGCCAACTGCCGTCCATTCAGAGATGGCACTAGGCTTCATGACTTTACTCACTCAATGTGCAAGCACCAGCCTGTTCTAATATTGGCCCGCAGCTATATTTTTTTATGGCCGGCTGTAAACGGATATTTACAGACAGCCTGTAAATGGGTTGAAATTTACAGACTGTCTGTAAATTTACGGACGGTTGGCAACCCTGACACTCACATAAATGAATATAAAACCACATGTAGACCCGGAAACATTGCTGCAGCAGTGTGCATTCCATGGGCCGGAAGTGACATCACTGGAAGTCCTTTCTAATACGTTTCGCCTAGCTAATCGGTGCCTTCAGGAGTAGAACGTTCCAGCTCATGATATCACTTTTCTCAAGTCAGTGCCCCCTCCAATGAAAAGAGATATCACAGAATGAGATAAAATGGATTTAACGGACTAGAGACGCTCACACCAAAGGGGTTAAATGTGGAGATTGATATAAATTATTTTAACACCAATTTTTTAAATAATAGGGATTTTTTAACAATTTTAGATGTTGATATTTTTTATAGCGAATAATTTTAGATGTATGAACACACATATGCATTTTTTTGTGGTCTGTATAAAAGTTGTAA